GCAGGGAATGGGAACAGGGACGGGCTTGAACCCACTGATGTTCTTCTGTTTTCTCTTTTGGTTCTGTTTTTTCATGTCTGTAAAAGATCTGTTTAGAAATTAAAACACTCCGGTGAAGTGAAATCGTGGAAAGCTTATACATCATAGGTGAATTAAATTAAAATAATTTGGGATCATCAATTTGCACTGCAAATTAATTTAAATTGTTACTTGATCTTCTCTGGTTGACTTCTCTCCTTTTTTTTGCTGTTTCTTTTTCCAGTTACTTTTTTATAAAATTTACTATTAGATTCTTTCTATAAAGTAACCTTAAACCTGGAAGAATTGGAAGTTCTTGTGCCCTGTCCTGTATATAATCAAAAGAGGGAAAAAAAGCGCATAATTTTGATGAAAGAATACTCCAGTTTTATGTGTCAACAAAACAATTGGGTCTGACAGAAATCTAGCCTGAAGCCTGTTTTTTGTTGTAAGTTTTAGTACTGTTTTTGAGCAGTAGTCCTGTTCCTCTCCAGCAGGATGGCACGGGTGAGGGAATAGCGCTGATGGCAAAGCGCGGCTGTCCGAGGCCGGGCTGTCCTTGGCCGGGCTGTCCCCGTGTCCCCGTGTCCCGGTGTCCCCTGGCCTCTGTAGCCCCTCTGTCGCCGGCCGGGGGCTATGTACAAAACGGGACGGGACTGCTGAGGAACGTGCCTTGAGCTTTTATTTTCCAGCACCAGTCTCATTACATGGTTATAACAATGGGAAGATGCCATCAGCTCACATCTCAGGCAGCAGACCAAGAACTTAATGTTACAACTTACTTTAACTTTGCCAATTCAAAATTACTTTAACAGTTTTTTGCCCAATCACACAAGGCAAAAGCACATTGACAGTAGTTTCATCCATCCACTATAAGCACACACACCTTCGATTAAAACAATGCTTGCTTATTTCAAATACAATACCTGCTTGTAAGCCTTAAAACACAATGCACAGAGCTCCGTTGTTAAGCTTAAAACTTCCTAATATCTCACTATATATGATTTACATATATATGCTATATATATATATATATGTATCATATAATATATGATATATATAATATATATCTCATACATATATATATATATAAAATATACTTTTCTGCAGCTTGGGGAGTTATTCTAGACAAGCGTTAATACACAGACCATTGTTCTATTTGTCCTTACTTTTCTACATTTTACATAATTTTTCTGCTGACCTATCTCATGGCTATGGCTTAGCTCCAATCACAGTTCTGCTGTCTCTGAGGCCTGCCTTTTGCAGCTTTCCCAAACCCCTCTGAATTTAAGGATTCCCACACCCTTCCTGCAGGAGCCATGCCGGCTCCCCCAGCCGCTCCCCATTCTCTGCCTTGGGGGAGTGCCCATTCCAAGCCCCTGGGAACGGGAGGTTTGGGCTAGCCTGTAAAACCTGGATGCCGTGGACGTGCTCAGGCGAATTTAAAGCTGCCAATTGCAGAAAGTTAAAAAAGAAAAAAAAAAAACAAAAACGGGGGATATGAACACCCTGCTGGTTGCTGGCGTCTGTTGTTTAAATGGCTTTGGAAAGCCGCATTCATCACTGACAGCGACACGGCTCCCTGAGACTTGTGGGTGTTTGGATGCTACAAGCTGACACATGCCAAGATCCCAGTGACACATGCCAAGATCCCATTTGCAGTGCTTGCCAATTCAAAATTACAGCAGTCGTGGCTCAGCATTGCAACAGTGACGCTTCTTCCTTTGGAGACTTCAGCTTTCTGTCTCTGGTACCTCAGAGATACCTCTGCTGCCAGTCTATGCTCTCGCTCTTTCCTATCTCTACAGTCCTGAATATCTGGGACAGCTTTCTTTTTCTTGTTTCTCATCACTTAGTGATTTTAAAAAAGTCCCACTGGAAACTATTTTCTCCATTCTCTACCTTCAAATAATTTCCTTCACAACCCTCCTCCTATTTTTGGAACTCTTTTAGTTATGTCTCTGGAGTGTTTTGTAGTTATACTTAGAATTCAAATCCAGTTCAAAAAATGGAACTTGGATCAATCCATGTTCAGGCAGCCTCTGGAGGGACATCTATGCTTTGTACTCATTTTCACCGTTGACAACCTTTTCTGGAACAGGCTTCTTTTCTTTGATCATCACAGTTCTCAATAAATTTTAATCCTGTACCTTCCATTGGGTATTGATGTACCATGCTTGATTATGAACAAAAATATTATTAAGACCTTGTTATATAGGCATGATAAAAGCAGCCCACAGTGAGAGCTAAGTCAGAGCTGGGAATTTAAGCACAGCTGGCTGCATGGAGGACTAATGATCTCCTATTTAAAGAGCCAACCACAACAGATAGGCTGAGAAGATTAGTGTGACTTGCCAACATCCTTTGTTTCCATCAAAAGATTTTGAGAGATCAAACTTATCTTTAGGCTATTAAGTTCTGTCAAGCGAGCATTTCTGGTGAAATATTGTCTGTCTTCTTTTATGACCTCTATTTTAAATCTACATTTTGAAAACAACAATTTTCAATATAGAAAACAATAAGAAAAATTCAACAGCCAAAACCAAGTTGATCAAGTGGTAAAGGATGCATTCAGGAATTAAACGTTTTTAGAGCCTTGTGTCATTCAGTAAAAAATTGGATAATTTGAAAGAATATGGTGAGGAAATTGTGCTTTAATCCACTGATGTATCTTGCTTTTCTTTTAGATTTCTTTTTCTCATGTCTGTAAAAGATCTTTTTAGCGATTGAAATTATGGTGAAGTGAAATCATGGAAAGCTTATACATTATAGGTGAAATGAATTAAAATAATTTGGAAACATCTAGTTGCACTCCAGAGTAATTTGAATGGTTACTTGATCTTCTGGTTTTACTTCTCTCCTCTTTTGCTACTTCTATTTCCAGTTACTTTTTCTAAATTTACTATTGAATTCATTCTATAAGTAATGTTAAACCTATTTTATGTCCTGTATATAATCAAAAGAGAAAAACTTAGCAAAAGCTGTATATAAGCAAAAATTTTAGTTTGATAAAAGAATACCTTAGTTTTATGAGTCAACAAAACAATTGGGTCTGCCAAAAATTTATCCAGAAGTCTGTTTTTCTTTAAGTTTAACCTTGCTTTTTGTGGTAGTTACCTTCCTCTTCTTTAGTTTGTAGTTTTAATTCAAGAAAATTTATGAGAAGTTAGATGAATTGCATCAGAAGGTGATTTTTAATGTTCCAGTAAGTGTGTGTATTCTCATACTACTTGCAGTAATCTTGAAATGTTCTGCAATTTATATGTATCATAATAAAAAGTAGTACCTCAGCAGATGAAAAAAACCAAACCCATGATTCTGATCCTAATGTTGGTTTGCTTTGTGGCTTTTAATAAGCCCCTTACTCTACAAAACCAATGTCCAAAATAAATAAGAGGGTAGCGTTATTTGGAGGGGGATCCACATGGAAGTTACACATGCTCTTAACCAGTTTAGGTATCCTTGGAAATCCCCAAATGCAACTGAAGTTCTAATCTCACTGAAAATAATAAAAGCTTTCCATTCATTTGAGGGAAACCAAGAGGTCCCCTGTGCATCAAAATTGTCTGTAACATAAGACATTGAATCAAAGCTTTCAGGAAGAGGAGCCTTATACATTAAATCAATACCTAGTCACAGGTGCTTCTGAAGACTGTTCTCTTGATAAGGCAAGAACTAGATAAGGGTATAAGGGGTATAAGGGTTTTGGAAAGTAGGCTTGAGTTCATGGGTTAAAAAAAAAAAAAGGCAAAACAAAACCCAAAAAAACCCCACCCAACCCCAAAACCCCTAAAAACCAATAAAAACCCCCCAAAACTGGGAAGTTTTTTCAATTATGTCTTTCCAAACACACATTGCAGTGTCAGTCGGGTCATTAGGCAATATTGAAAATTCTATCTCCTCAATCTTATTTTCCTCAGATATCTTGTTAAACAGTAGCAAAAGCATTGTCCTGTAGGAATACAGGCTATTTTCATTAGCAGCTGCCTGGGTATAATTATTTTCCAAGTTCAGCATGAGACATTTCCCAGCCTAAATGCAGCCCTTTCTATTCCTTTAACTTTGCTTTGATGATAGCACTTGATTTTTACTTTAACTTTTATGGATACCAGCCAAATTCATCCAGAGGTCATTTGCAATACATCTGAAATTATGTGTTGCTTGATAGAACTGATAGGCTAAGAGAAGTCAAAAATCCATATTTATTAAAATCACAGAAATTATTATTACAGTATAAATGTTTAAGAATTTCTAGGTGATTTCCAGGAATTAGTTTTGATTAATTGCATCTGTATTGAAATAATGTCTAGTCACTCAATAAGAAATCATATTATTATAGCATGCTTCTCATTACAAAGTACTGCACTTAAAGCATTTTCCTTCTGTAAAGAACAGTCAGATTCTTGGCTTTTTGTAACTGCTGGGAAATCTGAAATGCAGAGACCAGAATTAGAGTAGTTTGAAATAAGTATATATGAAGTACTAAAATAAGTAATTCTTTGCTGTTTGTCTTAGCGTTCTGTGTGATAGAAGCTCACTTACATGGGTTTATCTTATGTGGGTGTAAAAATAAATAGAGCATATGTTTATATGTATTTAATGGGTATATAATACAATTTAAGAAGCAAGAATTGCAGAGGAGGATAAATCTTTGATTAGACCAAATTGTACAGGTTATGATTTGTATAAGTTACATGATAGCACAGAACACTTTCAGAGACTATTACTGA